TAGTAAAAGAGAAAGAAGTATCATTGATACAAGCAAAAAATTAGGAAGACCCCAATTTTTTGCAAGCAAAAGAAAAGACACTTCCTATAAAATAATAGAAAAAAACTAGGACTTTCACACTTTCAATCATATATTGGCACAAAAACTTAAATAAAGTTAAATAAGACAAAGCGACAACACTTTAACAAAATAAATGACAACTTTCATATTATAAAACGACGGTTATAACTTTGACATAAAATCAAACACCTAAACTTGCTTTTCTTGGATTGAGAAGAAAGATACAATTGACGTTGAACTTGCGAAGAGAAGAAAGAGGTAAGAAGCCGAGACGAATGAAAGGACAAGCTCGCAAGCTTTCCTAGAAAAAGAGAAGAAGAATGGAACAAGCTCGCAAGCTTTTCCAACAAAAACCCTCAAGTTTTTCGCTTCCAAAAATACCACATAAAACTCTCTTTTTATCCACAAAAACATCACATATTTATAGGGAAAAATGGGCAGCCAAACAACCCAAAAGACCATTGATTAGACCAATTAAAAATAGGGGAAATAGAAGGCTAAGGGGCTATCCAAGAACTACACCCAAAGAGCCACAAAAGGGCCAGCTGGCTATCTAGAAACAGCACCCGAACAGCTACATAAAAACTCGAAAAAAGGCAGCCAAGGGAAATGGGACGGACGGCTAGGGGAACCGAAAAAGGCAGCTAAAAAGGGGGAGAGGAACGGGCTTCAGAGGGAACCGGGACCAGCAACCCAGGGAACCGAAACAGAAACCAAAAGGGGGAAGGAACCCGCCACGGTTTGAAGAACCAGGAGGGGAAAATCGAAGAGCCAAGGGAAGGGGAAAGGGAAGCCATAAAAAGGGGAGCCAAATGGGAAACCAAAGGGTCATTAGAGAGGGGGAATGAACCTAATTAATCTTCAATTTATGAGCTTAAAAGGCTCTCTACTAGACATTAATGAGCTGATTCTAATATAGGACCTAGAAGTTCTCCAAATTTACAATCCAAAATATCCCCCCCTTGCCTACATCAATCATCCATCATTTAAGATAATAAATTTTGGAATGACTGTTTGCTAACTTCTAAATTATTTGGGTATTTAATTAAGTTATTGAGAATTGCAAAGTTGCAGAGCTTAGAGGGGATCAAAGTGAAGGACATAGTGGTGACTAGATGTGAGGTATGCTAGAAGAGCAAATACATAACCATAGCTCTAATAGGATTACTGTAACCCACAGCTCATCCAATCGGAGGAGGCCACTATGGATTTTATAGATGGGTTACCCCGATCTGAGGGATTTATAGTGATTTTGGTGGTGGTGCATAGATTGAGCAAGTATGCTCAATTCATTCCCCTACGACATCCTTACACAATAGTGACAATGACAATGACATTCATCAGAGAGGTGGTCAGACTGCATAGATAGTCGAGCTTATAGTGTACGACCGAGATAAGGTGTTCCTCAGTTATTTCTGGAGGGAGAGGCTAGGGGAGTCAATATTTGACATGACCCAAAGCCCGACTAAAACCCAGACCCGACCAAAAAAATTTCATGATTGGGTAACTCGTTTGTCATACGGGTCGGGTTTGGGTTGAGCAAGCCGACCCGTTTCAAAAATCGGGTCAGGTTCGAGTTATGACCCGTTTCAAAAACCCGAAAGTAACCCGATTTGACCCGGAAATATGAAGGCCTCGCCGCACAGGCGTGCACGATCCGACGGCCAATCCCCTACAGAGCTTCCTGGTGTTCGGGCGACGAGCTTGTGATCCCTCTTTTTGACCCTAGGCTCCTTCACCATTTTCGAAATCCAAAACCCCAAATCAGAAAATCATTTCCTTTTTTTCAGGTTGAGCTTCTTCTCCTAGCTATGAAATCTCAATCTCTTTTAACATGCCGCCGGCGACGAGAAATCTGCAGCCAAGTTCCTGCCACTCACTTGCCGGTGAAGCTTCCAGAGCCGATGACTGTGAATTCTGATGTCGTGGTGATACTTGTAACACTGCTCTGCACGCTGATATGTGTCATCGGACCAGCTTTAGTGACCCGCTGCGCCTAGCTTCATCGTTGCATTGGGTGAGCTTTAACCAGCCCCAGGGGCGCACTTTGTTCCTTGGAAACCCTTTCCACACCACCATTCTCCATCGCAATGACGTTTCCTGCCTGTCATAAAGCAAGATTCATCAGATCAGCGGTGAAAATTCGGCCAATGTTGGATTTCGTCTTCCTCATTGCTTGGCCTAGCTCGCTCAATGCTCTCCAATCGCCAGTCACGCCCGCTCACTCGACCAGAAAAAATTTGAATTAGTGGATCGGGTTAGGTCAACCCAGTAACCTAACGGGTCGGGTCCGGGACTGAAGTTTCGACCTGTTTACAAAACCGAGTCTGTTTAGGGTCAACCCCTTTGAACCCGGGTCAATCCGGGTTCGACTCGAACCCGACCCGCGGACCAGTTTTAACACCCCTAGTTATGCTGAAGAGGAGCGCCGCTTACCACCCCCAGATGTACGGGCAAGACGAAGGTGGTAAACATGAGCCTTGAGACGTATCTACGATGTCTTGCTTTAGAGATGCCTCGATTGTGGGCGAAGTGGCTGGCACGGCCAAAGTATTAGTACAACACTTCATATCATTCATCTTCACATATGACTCCTTTCAAAGTGTTGTATGGAAGAGACCCACCTCACTTGGCACACTTTGGGCAGAGTAGCACACAAGTCTCGTCGGTAGAGCAGTACATTAATGAGAGGGATAGGATGCTGACCGAATTAAAAAAAAAAACATTTGTTGAGAACTCAGCAGATCATGAAGAAATAAGCAGATGGGCGCAAGAAGGACATCCTATTTGTGATAGGGGATATGGTATACATGAAGCTTTGTCCCTATAGACAAAAGACGATAGCTAATACGACGAATGAGAAGTTGGCCCCGAGGTATTTTGGTCCTTACGAGATAATACAGAAGATTGGAGCGATAGATTATCTCTTGAAGTTACCCCCGACCACTACTAAACATCTGGCTGTTCCACGTGTCATGATTGAGAGCTATCGAGGATCATGCATCCAGTGCAAAGTTACCCGTGACACTAACCGAGGATTTAGAAGTGGTATTGGAACCACTAGAGCTAAAAGGGGTACGATATGGAGAGAGAGGGATCAAGAAAGTGTTGATAAAATGAAAGAACCTACCTGATTATAGCTCAACATGGGAGCCATACGAGAGAGTAAAGCATCAATTTTCATCCTTCCTCCACCCTTAGGACAAGGTGGGTCTTTAGGATGGGGCATTGTGAGCCGGTCCAGGAGAGACTGGCCTTCGTTTAGAGGAGGCAAAAATCCTATTCTGCTAGACACTCTCGCCACCCTTTGGGGTGGGGCGGGGGTCCAAATTTGAATGGGGAAAGAGGGGGCATCTAGGAGGGAAATATAGGAGGTCTGTTTGGGAATTTGGTGGAAATTATTGAATGCTTTAAGTATGTTGTTTTTCTAGGGTTAGGGTTATGCTTGTGTTTTCTAAAATTATAATTTATTAGATTGTAAGGGCTCTAGTCGGCGGCTAGGGATTTGGGAGAGTCGGATCTTGCTCTCTAATTGAAGATCCAACTGTATCTTGCTTTTCTTTCTTTTTTTGTATTTCTTACAATAAAAAGTTTCATGGTGTGTTCTTCCCAAATTCTTCATGTGGTTCACTGATTTGGTAGAAATTGCATCTACTTCCTATCAAAAACCTAATTACCCAGAATAAAATCCTATTCAATGTCACATGTTTAGTAGGGGAAATCTCTAGGGCATTCAGTTACATACTTTTGTCTTTCGAGTTTGTAGATGAAGTTACCTTATTATTCGAGATAATACAATTCCTTCTCTACAAAATACTCAAAAGATAAACGTATGTGTGACTAGCCTACTCTTCCATTGATTCTCATGTTAGAGCATAAAGGCCTAGGGGCATCAAAATAGGTTTTCGAGTCAGATTAGGGTCCAAACTGAAACTAATCCGCCCTCTACTGCTCCAATCCGAACCTGACCCGATTACACAAAAGGATCAAAAAATATGAACCCAGATCGGACCAGACCCAAATCCAGGTCAACCAGCCCTGACACGCGGACACGGAAGAGTGAAAAGCAGGCGACATCAAGTGTAGAGCATGAGTCGAACGTGACTAGGCAGGATGCAGTGCAGGCTGGATTCTAGACGCAGTTATACGGTGCGGGCAGGAGCGGAATGTGGTCATGCAATGAGGGCGGGAGCGGGACGCTGTTCGGGCAACAGGCATGATGTGCAAGCTACGTGATGCAATGCAGTGCCTACGAGGACATGGGACTACCAGGGCACGCGATGCAGGTCTGCGGGATGTCGGTCATTTCTAGGTTAGCGAATTGACTTGAACCATACCCGATGTTTCAAACGGGTTGGAAATTATAACCCGAACCTGACTTGTTTGTTAAATGGGTCGACCTGAAATCGGATTTTTCGGATCGGGTTCAGGTCGGATTTTCGTGTTAGGTCATAAATTTACACCACTATAAAGGCCTACGATCATTTTTGTCCCTCGAATTGTACGATCCAATCCTTTAGGACTCTCCCTACAACATGACTTTCTCTCGAAGACCCACAGGGGTGTGGTTTGGTCAAGTACCGAGAACTTTCTAAGCATCAAATTATACACAAACATATTTAAGAGATTACGAAACTTGAATAAAAAATTAAAAATTGAGATGTAATAAAAATTTAGGTTATAGTAAACAAACTAATATGTTTAAGGTTTAAAATTAAACTTATTTGTAGCTAATCTGCTAATGTCACTTTAAAGTTTGAGATAAACAGCAATTTTTTTCCTCTATGTATTAATCAATAAAAAAACATTGCTGCATTAAATTCTGAAATGCCTGCATAACAAAAAAAATTTTAAAGGCTAATACATTCTATAAACTTTTTTTGAAATTAAAAAAAAAAACTGTATAATTGCCCCATCTTGCTATAGATCAGAGCATGTACCTTGAGGAGATCAAACACCTTCTCGGCAATATACTTTTGCTGAAGAGTTGCCCCCTTCTGTTGCACCTTATCAGGATGAATACACAGGGTAGCTTTCCTATAAACCCTTTTAACAGCAGCAGCTGTAATCAAATCGGTTAAAGACACGGGGTGCCATCCACATTCTGGCCAAAGTACCTATTTGAAGGTTTTGAAATAAAAATCTTTAGAAGATAATGAAAAGCATTTAAGTGCCAGCAATGTAAATACCCATGGGATAAATAACGAGTGTTTCTCATCTTCCTACAACAAATGCATCTAGAAAAAAAATCTGTAACAAGTCCTAGAAAAGGCAATGAAAAGGCCCAGAACGTGTAGATTCTCAAATCTAGGATTAAGCAAACCAACAAACAAATGTATTTTTTTTTATGCCAGAACTAGTAATGAGGGTTCCAGAAGCAAAATAGAAAGGAAGCGTAGAGAAGCAAGTTGGAATGACTCTCGGTCAACTTAATTGTCTGCTGCCTTTAGTTTGAATATTTAATTTTCGAAAGTAATAAAAATAAAAAAAATTTCCTAGATGAAAACCTTTATGCTTTGGGTAAATCCAAGATAAGCCTTGTGAAATGCGAACTTGTCCCTGTTAAAAAGTAATTAGCCATGCTCTTAAAAAGCGTAGATCAGAGCAATTTATGCTCGCCAAGAGGTGGCATTTTATGCACAATGTACTGCCTTTGAGCTATTCTCAGGGTCGAGTTTGTCAATCAGAGATAGTTTTGGAGGTTCAATTATCTTTAATTGCACTACGCGGAATGTGTTTTATAACTATTGAGTTACTGGTTTGTGTTTCGTTTAGATAAAACGAGTCATGATCATAAATTTTTTATTGTTCCACTAACATTTAGAAATCACAGAAATCCCTCACATTAAGTATATGTTGTAAACTACTTTCATTCTATTCATGAGTTTAATGCTTTTTTTTCGGTATAAAATGTATCATAAATTCCAATATAATTAAATATGGTCTCTGAACTATCTTTTTTCTCCGGATCATTTAAAATATTCCTATATTCAAACTATTCAACTTTTATTTTCAATATTTTGCCAATGAAGTTTAATCTCCAAAATATCCACGATTAGTGATATTCTCTCAGTTATGCCAAGGAAGGTTACAAAAATTATTTGTCCTGCGAGGTAGCCAACTATAGAGTAACCCCCTCCAACATAATTTGTGGTATTTAATTGATTATAACAATGTTCATTTTTATTATCCTTCAATCCTTGTTCTTTGCATATACATTTATTAGTTTGGTCAGTGCACGTACTTTAAAATTCATAATTTGTTATGGGAAATAAGTAAAATAAGGGTTTGTCCCTGTTACTCTTTAATATTTTTTACTTCATAAATGATGCCTTATAGAACGCAACATGTATTATCTTCACAAAAATTTCATTAACCTCTATTTCATTTCTTTAAGCTAGAAAAGATAAATTAGAGAATTATTATATTAGAGAAGCAGATAGAGTGACATCTATGGACATGTATAACAAAGGGTAGAAAAAATACCAATTATATTAGATAAAATTAATGTCAGAGGAACATGAAGTAGAAGGGTAAACTTAATGTGTGCGTGTATATACATAAGTTGCACACAATGATTTGCGAATAATATTCAAGTTATTTATTTTCTAAGAAAAATACGCCTGAAAGTTCATTCCTGACGAAGCAACACCTCTTGTATTCTCAGACATTATTGAAGCCCATCCTAACAGAAATTGATTCAAACTAGTTCAAATTTGAATTTTAATTTGAACCTCGAATCAAAATTGAACAGAATGGGATTCAAACTATGTTAGAACATGATATGAACCAGAGCTCAAATCTTTGTTTGAACTCCATCGTTCGAGAGCCTCATGAGCTAGATCACATGTCGCAAGTTCAACGAACCTCCATCACACAAACTCCTCTTCTCCTTGCGTACAGCCAATCATGTCATTGTCTTCCTCAACAAGCTCTGTTGCACATCCCCAAGATACTTTCCCCAATAATCTCTGCCACATTAACCCATCTTCTCCTCACACACAATCCACCACATTGCTGCCTTCCCCAACAAGCTATGTAGCAACCCCGCCAGTTCCACTATGCCTTCCCTGATGGGCTCCATCATGCAAAAAATGCTTTTCCTCAGACACAACCAGTATCATCTTTGCCTTCCTAGCGAGTTCCATCACACCCAGCTAGTCTCACAATGGCTTCCCTAGCAAGCTCCATCAAATAATGCCTGGATCATCTTGCGATGCCTTCCCCAGCAAGGTTCAAACAATGGAGGTTCGAACTTAGGTTCAATCTATGCTCGAATCAAGTTAAACTATGGTTCAAATTCGAACTAGTTCAAATCAAGTTCTTTTGTAGTAGGCTTCAACATTTTGTTTATGAATACAAGAGGGATATCTTCATCCAAAATAAACTTTGAGGCACATTTCTTCAAGGAAATAAAAAATAGGGATATTTCTCCAATTACATTTACTATGAGAAATATAAAGTCAAACTCGCTATTTTCATCACCTCAAACAATACTCAATACAAAGAAATTGAGAATTCATAAAACCAACCCCAAATAGTTGCAGTAAGGCTAATGATTGTGATGATGTATACAATTCCTTTAGGCGTGCATATTTTCGAAAAGCTTCAAAATTTTCTATATTTATTAAAATAGTTTTATAGCAGGATCTGGCATTAATTTGCTTAAAATATTTTTATTCAAGTAGCATGCAAAGATAAATTAGGCAATCTTGTGAAGTCCAAAGTTTTAAAAAAATTAAAATTAAGACAGAAAAATAAGAATTTAAAGATATGCGTCTATATTAAAGGAAACATTAGAAACACCCTCCCCTAATATTTTGAGACAATCTGTGAAAATAAGATAACATGCATCAAGAAGCATATAATGATTAAATTTAGAATAAAATTTAATTTGTTACATTATTCTTGCTAAAGTACAATGATAGAATATCACTACAACAACAGCATCAACCCTTTATCCCACTCCGTGGGGTCGGCTATATGAATCCTTTTTTCTTCATTGTGTCCTATTAAGAGTCAAATTCTCTTTTAAATCTAATAAAGAAAGATCACTTCTAATATTTTCTAACGAATTATTTTTAGGTTTACATCTACCTTTCTTAACATAGGCCAAATCTATTAACATAGGCTTAAGTACAATGATATAATACAACAACAACAACAACAACATCAAGCCTTTATCCCACTACGTGGGGTCGGCTACATGAATCCTTTTTCTCCATTGTGTCCTATTAAAAGTCAAATTATCGTTTAAATCTAATAAAGAAAGGTCATTCCTAATATTTTCTAACCAAGTCTTTTTAGGTCTACCCCTACCTTTCTTAACACAAGTCAAATCTAATACCTCTACTCTCCTAACCGGGTCATCGGAAGGCCGCCTTTTTATGTGACCAAACCATCTAAGGCGACTCTCTCTAATCTTATCTTCTACTGGAGCTACTCCAACCTTTTCACGTATATGCTCATTTCGTATCCTATCTCTAAGGGTAAAGCCACTCATCCATCTAAGCATCCTCATCTCTGCCACACTTAACTTAGTATTATGCTTCTCTTTTAATGGCCAACATTCGGCACCATAAAGCATGATGAACTTGGGTTTGTGCAATTAAACTCATACAGTGACAACTGACAAGTGTCAACTCTCAATCACGCCACCACCTAATCCCCAGAAGTCCGGAACTAGACGTGATTAACCAAGTATACGATATCATTTTCTACTTGTAGAAGTTCTCTAGGGAACATTAAAGAGGTTCTTATAATCAATGCAGCCAATATGATTCATGCGTCCAAAGAGCAGCTAAAGGGTTGTTTACAAATGATTATATTATTCTCAGATCCTTCTTTCTGCCGTGGCAGAGAATGTGCGACTATTGCCTTCACTCGTTGATAAGGAGTAAGTCAGCAAGGGATGGGCCCTTAGTAGCCAAGGCTGGCTTCAATTTTTTACACAATAAAATAGGAAAACAATGAAACTAATGTGCCAGGATGCAGGAGTTGCTTCTGATCTTGGTAATAGTAGAACGCCTGCAGGAAAGAGGATTGATTTCACGGCAGTATTTTGTTGTTATTGAGCTGTTGCTGAAGTTGGCAATCATTTGATTGATGATGAGATATTCCAAATTGTGGTGTTTACGAGATTGAAAAATAAGTGAACTCTTCCAAGATCAGGTTGAACAAGCCTAAAAAAATACTCAAGTGATCACTTGATTCAGAGAGGATCAGCGCACATGCTTGATATTTGGAAGATGAGAGTTGGTTTTTCCATGGGTTTGTTTAGGCTTTATAGTCCAATTTCCTTTTGTTTTGTCCACTGCTACAGGTGGTTCTTATTTGTTTGGTAAAAGAGAATTTCTTCCACTATCTCTTTTGTTTGAGACTTGGTGCTATTTTAAGTAAAATAGGATGAAACCACTTGTCAAGCAGATAAACATGTTGCTTTTGTTCTTAAACAGTCAGGTGATGAGTTTAACAATAACAACAACAATAAACCTTTATCCCAGTACATGGGGGTCAACTATACAAATATTTTTTCTCCGTTGTGTACTACTAAAAGTCAAATTTTCATTTAAATCTAATATATAATGTTATTTTTAATACTTCATAATATTTTAGGTCTTCCTCTATCTTTATGTCAACATAGGCCAATATTCTATGTGTGCAAGACATCTAAGACGATTCTCTCTAATCTTATCTACAACTGGAGCTACTCCAACCTTTTCAAGCATATAATTGTTTTGCATTCCGTATCTAAGTCAGGTGATGAGTGTGCATGGAAGCAATTAGGAGAGTTGTTCAATATAGTGTCCGTCAGTCTATCATTTCAAGAATGTTAATCTCTTGATGTATCAGCATAAAAAGAAGAGGCTCTCTGTATTTCTCTGTACCATTTGGCTAACCTACAGCCCCTGGGCACTTAATTTGCCTACTACTTTGACTGGATAAATTGATTGGCGGAAATACAGGTGTTGCTGGCTGTAGAGGTATTTTCTACTTACTGAAAGGAGATAGACAACTTATATGGCTACTTCAAGTTGGTATATATCATATTTGTGGAAAAGCCAATCAATTTGCAGTCTGGGATCATGTAGTTAATGGTTGGGGCTCCATTATTTTA